TTATCTTTTCTCCTAAGATTAGGGGAATTGTAGCTATTACATTTTATAATTTTGGCTCTTACATTTAGGTATTTGATCTATTTCAAGTTAATCTTTAAATTTTGTTTTTAAAGCTTTTTATTTATTTATTTTTTAGTTGTAGATGGACTCAGAATCTTTATTTCATTTTTATGTGGTGCTGAGGTTTAAACCCAGTGCCTCACATGTGCAAGGCAAGCACTCTACCACTGAGCTGCAACCCCAGCCCCCTTTCTCACCTTTTTTATTGGTGCACTATTGTTGTACATAATGGTGGGATTGATTGTTACCTATTCCTATATGCCCATGATATAACAATATAATTTGACCAATATCATTCCCCAGTACTTCTACCCTTCCTCCCCTTTCCCCTTGAGTTAATTTTTGTATGTGGTATGAGGTATCATTCTTAGCTTGTGGCTATAGGGTTATCTTAGCATAATTTGTTGAAAAATTCTTTCCCTCATTGAATTGTTTTGGCATTCTTGTGGGAAATTAACTAATGTAAAAGTCAGGGTTTAGGATAGTTTTTCGTTTCTACTTCAGTGGTCTATATGTCTATCCTTATGTCAGCTCTGTACTGCCTTGAGTACTGTTGCTCTGTAATAAGTTTTGAAACTGGAAAGCAAATCCTCCAATTTTGTTCCTTTTCAAGATTGTTTTTGCTAGTCTAGGTATCTTAAGTTTCCATGTAAATTTTAGGATAGACAGAGAAGCCAGGCTAGATCCTGAGAGTAATTGCATTAAATTCCTTGATCAATTTGTAGATTACTGCCATCTTGACAATATTGTCTCCTGATCCATGAACATGAGTCATCTTTTTGTTTTTTTACATCTTTCCGTTTCTTTAAATTTCTTTCAACAACATTTTATAGTTTTCCGTTTACTTTTCTCTCTTATTAAATTCATTCCTAAGTACTTCATTATTTTTGATGTTATTATAAATGAAATAGTTTTCTTAGTTTCATACTTGGATTATTTATTGCAAGAGTAGAAAATACAATTGATTTTTGTATATTGATCTTATATCCGGCAAACTTGCTGAACTTATTTATTAGATCTAAATTTTTTTTGGTGAATTCTTTAGGTCTTATACACAATATCTTGTTTTAGAGACTAAAGATAATTTTAATTCTTTTCCAGTCTTCCCTGATTTGAACCTCCAGTACAATGTTGAATTAAAGTAACTAGAATGAATATGCCTGGCTTTTTACTGGTCTTATGGGGAAAGCATCTAGCCTTTTACCACTAAATGTGGTGTTAGCTGAGAAGTTTTCATCAATTCCTTTTGTGAAGGTGAAAAAGTTCCTTTCTAATCATAGTTTTTTTTTATCATAAAATGATGCTAAATTGTTAAATGACTTTTCTGTAATGAGATGATCATGCGTTTTCCTGATACTCTATTCATATATTTTGTTAGATTGGTTAATTTTCATATATTGGAACAAACTTGCATTCCTGGGATAAATTACACTTGGGTGCTCGCTTCATCAGCAAACATACAATGAAAATTTGAATGATATAGAGAAGATTATCATGGCCTCTGTGCAAGGATAACAACCAAATTCATGAAAAATAAAATCTCAGTCATGGTTTGAAATCCTCTTTATATGCTGTTGGATTCAGTTTCTTGTATTTTATCAAGGATTTTTTTTTCTATATACTCATAAGGGATATTGGCAAATATATTTTTATATGTTATCAGCTCAATTACATATTTTATACACATACTTTAAATATATATTGAAACATATATTCATACATTTTTCATATACACATAAAATACATATTTGGAATTATGTAATTGCTTGAGAAGAAAGAAGAACAAATTTACTACTTTGTGGTTATTTTCTTTGATTTTTCTAGTGAGAGATCAAAAGTGATTCATATATTTTTCCTTTTAGATTATTATGACTTTATTATTTCCACCATTAACTCTGATCCTTAAAGTTCATTCTGATTTTTTGGCTAGAAGTTTAAAAAAATCAAACTGCTAAGCAACTATCCTAGATAATTCACTGAATAATTGCTGTTTTCAGCATATAATAAAGTATTACATAAAAAGACCTGTCTTTCCACTGTATTGTTTGTGATATATATCTGGTGTTTTCTTCCTTATTTCCTCCACTTTCCAACAAACTCTGACATAACTGCCTATCATTTTGTCAGTCACCATCACTGTTTGTAGGGATGCATAAGTGACAATAATCTACTATAGTTCATCAACCCCTTTTCCAAGAAATTAGACCAAATGGTAGAAATGGGATCCAGGATAAGCCAGAATCCTTCTCTGGGATTAAACATATGGATTTTCAGAAAAAAAGAAAAAAGCCAAGATTGTTAACTGAATAGTGTTACTTGTATTGTCTGTAAACTAGTAGGTTGGTTATAGGCTTAATCAAATTCAGACTCATGTTTTTTTTTAATCTCTTTTATGGGTGGCATTTTATATTTTTATTAAGGCACAACCAGGAATCATTCTTTTTTTTTTGATGGTACTGGGGATTGAACCTATGGAAAAATAACAGATATATTTGAAATCCTAGAGGAAAAGGAGAGAAAATAAGAGGCAGTGTCTGAAGAGATAACAGCTTTTCTGAAAAAAATTGTCCCAAAACTGGTGCAATTTATGTTAAATATTCAAGAATCCCTAAAAATTCTAAACAAGATAAACCATAAGAAATCACACCCATTGCAGAATATTTATGAAAATATAAGTAGAAGATATTAAAATTCAGTGGGAAGGGGGGAAAGAGGAGAAGAGCCATCAGTGGAAAAAAAAGATTAATACCTCTCAAGGCACAATATAATTATGTGTCACTTGATAAGAGGACTGTGTTCTAAGAAGTGCATCTTTAGGCAATTTCATCATTGTACAAACACCACAGAGTATACTTACACAAACATAAATGGTGTAGTGTTCTACACACCTAGACTATGGTATAGCTATTGTTCTGAGGCCACAAATCTGTACAGCATGTTACTACACTGAATACCGTAGGCAATGATAGCACAATGGTAAGTACTCTGTAGCTAAACTTATCTAAATCTAAAAAAGGTAAAGTGTAAATGAAAAGTGGAACATCTCTATATGGGGCACTTGCAAAGAATGGAGCTTGCAGGACTAGAAGTTGCTCTGGATGAGTCAGTGATTGGTGAGTGAATGGCAAGACCTAAGGTATTAATGTACACTGCTGTGGACTTTATAAACAGGGTACACGTAGGCTACACTAAATTCATTAAAATATTTTATTTCTTCAATAATAAATTAACTTTAGCTTACTCTAATTTCACTTCAGAAACTTTTTAATTATGTTAAACTTTTTTGTTATAACATTTAATTTCAAACAGAAACACATTTTATGGAATAGAAAAATATTGTTTTCTTTGTGTTTTTGGTCGCTGGTACTGGGGATTTAACCCAGGGGTGCTCTACCACTGAACTGTATCCCCAGACCTTTTAATTTTTTATTTTGAGACAGGGTCCTGCTTAGTTGCTTAGGGCCTTGCTAAATTCCTGAGGCTGGGCTTGAACTTGCAATCCTCCTGCTCCAGCCTTCTAAATCGCTGGGATTACAGGCATGTGCCACCAAGCTAGGCAATATTTTTTTCTTTTTATCCTTGTTTTGTAAGCTTTTTCCTATTTTTCAATTATTTTTATTTTTTACTTCCACACTTTTGGTTAAAAACAAAGACACAAATGTACCTAGCCTATCCTATACGGGATCAGGCTCATCAATGTCTCTGTGCTCCATCTCCACAGATTGTCTCACTGGGACAATAGCACTCATGAAACTGTCATCTTCTATGATAACAATACCACGTCCTGGAATACCTCCTGAAAAACCTGCCTGAGGCTATTTTAAAGTTAATGTTTTTTTTTTTTAAAAAAAGATACATAAAAGGAGTACACTCTAAAATAAAGATTTAAAAATATATTATAGTAAATATGTACACCAGTAATAGTCATGTATTACCTTTATCAAGTATATTGTACTGTACATAATTATATATGTTATACTTTTATATGACTGGCAATGCAGGAGGTTTGTTTCCACCAGCATCACCACCAACACATGAGTAATGCATTGCACTCCAGTGATATGACAGCTACACCATCACCAGGTAATAGGAATTTTTCAGCTTCATTATAATCTAATGAGACCACCATCATATATATTGTCCATCATTGACCCAACACATTGTTGTGTAGCTAGTGACAGTAATTTACTAAGAGCCAATAGCTAACTTCTCAACAGAAACAATGGAAGCCAGAAGACAATGGTATGGTAACTTCGAGGCACTGGGGAAAAAATTATGATTAAAGTAGAAATCTATATACAGTGAACATATTCTTTAGTAATGAAGAAAAAATAAGGAGATTCTCAGAAAACACTGAGAATTAGTCACTTTCACATATACACTGGAGAGAGTATAAAGAATACTCTTTTAGGTAGGAAAAAAAATCCCAATTGGAGATGTTAACAGATATAAAAGCAACAAAATTAAAACACTTGGGTATACCTAATGAATATTTATTGCACAAATAGTGATAATAGTGACTTTTTTTGTCTTTAAAGTATGGAGAAAAAAATATAGAATAAGAGTATTGTTGAAATGCATTCTGCTGTCTTATATAACAAATTAAAATAAAGAAAGAAATTTCAAAAAAAGAGTATATTAGAAGGAAGATAAAAATTGTTATAGTTTTCTAAAATTATAGCATGTTCTGGGAATAAGGTAAAAGTAGCAATAAATATCACATCTTGATAAATCATAAATGCATACTGTAATAAGTAAGGTAATCACTAAGAATAATAAAATAGAAAACAATTTTCCCATTAATTATGGGCTAAGGATAAGGAGAATGAGTTCATCTAATAAGTGGAAATTTGATTAGGCAAGACAAATGGTAATGAAAAATATGTTTCAGAAGACATTAACTCTTTTTTTTCCTTTTTTTTTTCTTTTTCTCACGTCAGATGTCGTAATAAGACTTAGAGGGAGGCATATCTCACACAAGAGCTTGCACACCCAATCATCACACTTATGAACCGAAGGATCTAACTCTTTTCTTTAGGTAATTAAACTCTAAAATAACTGGTTCTTATTTAGCATTCTTTTATATGTCTAATTTACCTTTTCCTTGTAAATTTTTTTTCCCCCCAATATTGATGATTGGATCCAGGGTGCTCTATTACCACTGTTCTGAATACCCAACCCTCTTTACCTTTTGTTTTGAGACAGGGTCTTGCTATGTACATTGCAAGTGAACATATTCTTTAGTAATGAAGAAGAAATTCCAAGTTTGGATTCTCCTGTCTTAGCCTCCTGAGTTGCTGACCTTAGAGGTGTGTACCACAGTGCCTGGATTCATTGTAATTTCTGAGAAGCCAATTGTTTCCCAAAGGATTTGTTTAAAAATATTAAATTTCGCATTTCTTCTTAACCAAGAACAAAATGGAATTAAACATGTGCAAAATGACTGAATGTCAAGTAACTAGTTATACAGCCAGCTCATTTACACTGAATTAGTAATTTACTCAGTCTGCAATTTATGTTAATTAAGGAAAGACTATTTTATTCGTTATACATTTACATAATGATATAAATGTCTCATTCTCTTCTCTGCAAATGTTATTATTATCTCAAGTTTCAGCTCTTTTCTACTATTATCCTCTTAGAGTAATCCATACAATGTTGTCATTTTCATTATACTTTTGCTGGCATGTAATCGACAATATTCAACTTAAAAGTTAAGTAAGTTTTAAAAACACACAGGCTTCCCTTGGCTTATAAAGCCAAGGGAATTTACGCTCTACATAAAGTTATATTTAACAAAGATTAGACAGCCACCCTAATATATTCACTCTTTAAATATAAATAAGTCTTACGTTTTATAAACTTTTAGATCTTTTTAGCATAATTATTCTTTTATGAAATCTTTCATTCTTTGAAATATTTCAAATAAAAATCTTAATACTAAAATATTTATGAAATATGTTGTGTTCTTTCCCCCTATGTAGAGCATGAACATTGGCTTGAATAAATTGGGTTCTCCAGAGAAACATGCCCAATAATAATAATATATATTATTAATATTCCCATAATGTATATTATTATAAGAATCAGTTTGTGCAATTATGGAGACTGAGAAACACCACAATCATCCATCTGCCATCTGGAGAATTCTGAATGTTTAGAATAGTGTCTGACCACATTGGGGAGAGTAGATCTTAGTCTATAAATTCAAAATCCAGAAACATCTTCACAGATGCACCCAGAGAAAATATTTTACTAGCTTTCCAGGTAACCCATAACCCAGTCAAGTTGATATATAAAATTAACCATCACAGCATGATTATATACATTTGTTCAGAATCTGTGTCTAGCTAATTGATTTTATGTGCATAATTTAAGGCCTAAAGCATTAGTCAGGATGATTTGGGAAAATAGGACATGTTATTGGCAGTCTATACTTCCTGCGTTTACCAAATAATTGTCAATTCTCTGAAATAAAGACTTTACATTTTAGATTTATCTTGGTCATTGACTTGATTTTGTCAACTCCAATTATTTCTCTAGAATTTTTAGTTTTCCTCTTTGCAGCCTGTCCTTGTCAATGTGTATTAGCATAATTTATGTTAAGAAAAGAATTTCTGCAAGCTGGAGGTCAGCTCAGTGGTAGACTACTTGCTACCATGAAAAGACCCTGGGTTCAAGCACTGTTAAAAAAAAAAAAAAAAAGGTAAGAAAGAAAGAAAAGAAAAATGAGAAGGGCTTCTGTCAACTCCAAGTATTTTTATTCTTCTTCATTAGAATATTCATCTCTAAAGTCGTTGACTAAAAAAGAACCCAAGTGTTTTTCTGAGCACATAAAGGGCCTCCCACAAATCTAGGCCTAAATACAAGACATGTGCAGAGCCTAGCTGCCACTCTAAATAAGCAAAGTGATTCTCTCATGTTTGGCATCTTATTGTTCATTGTTTCCTTAACCTGTTGCAAAAAAAAAAAAAAAAACAACACTTATTTTCCACTGTTTCTATGAGTTTTGTGCTGTCATGATATTTCCCTCTCCAAAAAAATTTTTTTTTCTTGTGAGTCAGAAAAGCATCTGCAGTAGAGAACTCAGCTTAGCCCACTAGCGACTTCAGACCCAAAGGACCAAGAAAATTCTGGAATGAGACAAATCTAGATATGAGTAGTTGCAAAAATATATCAGTGTGTTCTTTTATGCCCAAGGACATAGATAACTGCTACATGAGCAATGAAGAGGTCTGGTTTTACACATGAGCTAAATTTACAGAAGTAGAATGTAAACTAAATGTCAGAAATAGATTCATTCACCGTAATAACAATAAATTAGGAGTGCATATAAATCACTAAAATTCAAGTTTTATAGTCACTATCAAAAGAATTTTTGATACTAAAAACTGTCAAAATTTTTATCAATGAAAAAGAGGATGATATTAGAGGGTCACATCAATAAAGAAGGTCACTGAGATACTATTATAAAATGATAGGGAAAAAGGGAACAACTTTAGGCCTAGGAAAAGGTCAAATCTGTGTCCTATGAGTTGAATAGCCTTGAGAAGAGAGAGAGAAGAGAGAGAGAGAGAGAGAGAGAGAGAGAGAGAGAGAGAGAGAGAAAGAAATCTGAAAGTGGGAATTTAGCTTTGGTTTTGATATCTAAGGTTAGAGAGTGCCCATATTTATAGGTAAATTTAAAGGATCTGACCTGGAAAAGTATTCTAATAGACTGGAGCGGAAGAGAGGGTTTGGAGAAATATAAAAAAAAATAGAATGCATTAAATCTATATAATGCTTTTGGTAGTATGGCCACTTTGACAATATTAATTCTGCCCATCCAGGAGCATAGGAGATCTTTCCATCTTCTGAGGTTTTCTTTAATTTCTTTCTTTAGTGTTCTGTAGTTTTCATTGTAGAGGCTTTTCATCTCTTTTGTTAGATTGATTCCCAAGTTTTTTTGTTTTTTGTTTTTGAGGCTATTGTGAATGGAGTAGTTTTCCTAATTTCTCTGTCAGTGGATTCATCATTAATGTATAAGAATGCATTTGATTTATGGGTGTTGATTTTATATCCTGCTAATTTGCTGAATTTGTTTATTAGTTCTAGAAGTTTTCTGGATCTTCTAGATATAGAATCTTGTCACTGCAAATAGTTATAGTTTGAGTTCTTCTTTACCTATTTGTATCCCTTAAATTTCTTTCTTTTGTCTATTGCTGTGGCTAGAGTTTCAAGAATAATGTTCAATAGAAGTGTTGAAAGAGGGCATCCTTGTCTTGTTCCAGTTTTTAGTGGGAATGCTTTCAATTTTTTTCTCCATTTAGAATGATGCTGGCCTTGGGTTTAGCATATATAGCTTCTAAAATCCCAATGACATTCTTCATAGAAATATAAAAAGCAATCATGAAATTTATTTGGGAAAATAAGAGACCCAGAATAGCTAAAGCAATCCTTAGCAAGAAAAGTGAAGCAGGAGGCATCACAATACCAGACCTTAAACTACACTACAAAGTTAGTATAGTTTAATATAAACAGCATGGTATTGGCACAACAGTAGACCAATGGTACAGAATAGAGGACACAGACACAAACTCACATAAATATGGTTATGTCATACTACACAAAGTTGCCAGAAACATTCACTGGGGAAAAGATAGCCTATTCAACAAATGGTGCTGGCAAAACTGGAAATCCATATGTAGCAAAATGAAATTAAACTTCTATCTCTCACCCTGCACAAAAATCAACTCAAATGGATCAAAGACTTAGGCACTAGAACAGAGACCCTGTGCTTAATAGAAGAAAAAATAGGCCAAAATCTTCACCATGTCTGCCTAGGATCTGTCTTTCTTAATAAGACTCCTAAAGTGCAAGAAGTAAAATTAAGAATTGGGCCAGGACTATAATTCAGTAGCAGAGTGCTTGCCTAGCATGTGTGAGACACTGGGTTCGATCCTCACAGCCACATAAAAATAAACAAATATAATAAAGACATTCTATCCATCTACAACTACAAAAAAATTTAAAAAGAATTAATAAATGGATGGATTCAAATTAAAAAACTTTTCTCAGCAAAGAAAATAATAAAGTGAGAAGATCTTTACCATATACACCTCCAATAAAGCATTAATTTCTAGGATATGTAAAGAACTCAAAAAACTTAACACCAAAAAAAACCCCAATCAATAAATGGGCTAAGAAACTAAACAGACACTTCACAGAAGAAGAAATATAATTGATCAACAAATATATGAAAAAGTGTTCAACATCTCTAGCAATTAGAGAAATGCAAATCAAAACTACTTTAAGATTTCATCTCACTCTTGTCAGAATGGAAATCATCAAGAATACAAGCAACAATAAATGTTGGCCAGGATGTGGTGAAAAGGTACACTCACACATTGCTGGTAGGACTGCAAATTGGTGCAACCACTGTGGAAAGTAGTATGGAGATTCCTCAGAAAATTGGGAATGGAACCACCATTTGACCTAGCTATCCCACTTCTTGGCTTATACCCAAAGGACTTAAAATCAACATACTATAGATGCAGCCACATCAATGCTTACAACAGCTCAATTCAATAGTTAGACTATGGAACCAACCTAGGTGTCCCTCAATAGATGAATGGTATAGTAAGAAAATATGGTAAATATATTCAATGGAATATTACTCAGCTTTAAAGAAGAGTAAAATTATGGCATTTGCCAGTAATGGTTGGAGTTGGAGAATATCCTGCTAAGCAAAATAAGACAATCCCACAAAATCAAAGGCCAAGTGTTTAATATATGGATACTAATTCACAATAAGGCAAGGGGCACTAGGGAAGAATAACGTTACCTTAGATTAGGTAGAGGGAAGTGATGGGAGGGAAGGGGAGGGGATGTGGGGATAGGAAAGATAGTAGAATGAAACAGATATTATTACTGTATGTATACATGTGACTGCATGACCAATGTGATTCTGCAACATGAGAAGTTATATCCCATCTATATATGATATATCAAAGTGCATAAATGCATTCTACCGTCATGTATAACTAAAACAAAAAAATTAAAAAGAAAATAGAATGACAGTACATTAAAAAAGAAGAAGAAACATTTAAAAAAAAAGAAGAAAGAAAGAAAGATGCCAAAAAGAAAGAATAGGAAAGAGAAAAACACATGGATCAGTATTCTGATGAAAAGTGTCCATTCATCATAGTGATTTTGCGGTGTTCTTACTGCAGTGGTTTACGAGATGCCCTGAGCAATGATCAAGTCCTAGAATTTCACCTTCTATAATGTCTGTTTATGGAAGAAAGAGTTTGCTAAGTAAGCATGCAAGATCTGCTTCTAACAAAGATATCATGATTCCAAAGTTAAAGTCCTGGGAAGATTAAGCCATAGCCTGGAGACACTTCTGTCTATGAGAAAACAAAGTTGATGGGCTCCCCTGCTGGGATTACTACCCAAATTATCAGAGAACCATTGTTTCTTTCTGCTCTGGGCATCAAATAGGCTGACCCCCTCAAGTTCAAATAACCTCCCACCAATACTGAGAGCATTCTCTGGCTCGTGCTCGCCTTCTCCAAACCAAAGGCAGTTGGCTATGTTCCAGTTCTTAGTATTACAGTCCTTGGCACATTTCCATCAGCGCTGAACTTTAAAACACACACACACACACACACACACACACACACACACACACAGCCCACATGCTATTTAAAAGCTCAGTTCACTTTTTTGTATAAATAAAAGAATCCTCCAGTATCCCTTTTAATGATAATTTCAATCTCTTTCCACTGATCTATCTTATTTTTAAAAAGCCTCCTTATGAGGGGATATTTAAGAAACTGAAAT